TAATAATATATGTACATTTTTTGTTACCTGCAGGTTGGATGTGGCCCATGGGCTGCCAGTATGATTACAACTCCAATTTCAAAAACGTTATCCCCTTTTATGCTATTCAGTTTTATAACTCTTTACACTACAATCAATTTTACATTACAGATATTTACACTGAAGCCATGGAAGTCTGTATTTTGTTACTAAGAATGAACTTTTTTAAGACACAGGTCCAAAACAATTTCTGTTTCTCCTGTCAGAAGTTGCTCAAAGAACTGTCTACAACAGGTAAGATGTTGACTGTTCATAACCTTTCCACAGAACCAAATATCCAAAGTAATCATTTAAAGCTGAATGGGGACTCTGATCTAGGGATCCCCACTGGGAAGTTTTAATGATGGAAGTCTCCATTATTACAGAGCTTCCTCTCACGCCACCAGATCTTCCTCTCCTGTAATGTTGAGGCTGTTTTGACAAAAGACCAGCCTTTTTATCCGCACGTCTTTCTGTGAATGGTTCTTCAGTGCACAAACACTCAAAGAGAGACTCTCCTTTTTGTTTTTCTTCTTTCATCTGAGTACATACCTCCTCTGCCACTCTGCTGAGCAGTCTTTTTTTGTGTTGGCTTTCACATTCTGGCACTGAAATTGGATGGCGCTGTGAGAGCGGCTTGAAGCCCGTGGTTAGACGTTTTTGTTGCGAGGTCACTGGTTTACACAGTCCCTATTTATCCCTGAAAAGCACTTTGAGACGATGAAGGGCATTATAAAAGTGAGGAGGACGAGTGCCAGGGACCGTCCTGTGGAACTTTGAGAAGAGCTGATTTTCCCATCTGCGGGGTGCACCTCCATTGGCTGGCAGGGACACATCCACCTGCATGTGGAGGACAGGCGGAGGCTTCCTGTGACAGAAGTCAAGGCAGCAAAGGCGGGAGAGGAGCCAGTTTCTCACACGCTCAAAGGAATTGTTCATAATTAGCCCAGCAATATTTTGGAGCCTTCTATTGTCGTCTTACTCATCCTGGCATATTTTGTTGTCCCTGTTATTTCTTCTCCCTGCTTAAGTTTGCGAGAATAGTTTTTATTGGCATCTGGAATGTTAGCTAATATATCCAACTATGCATGATGACTCAGCTGGAGCAGCCTATACATTTCACAGAAATAAATTTAACAAGGAGAAACAACACGAAAAAGAAACAATAAAGTCTTTCTCAACCGGTCTCACATGTTCCCCGGATTAATAACTTGAAGATGAAATACGTACCTTCAAATCCACAAAGCGGGCGCCTCAGAAGCGACACAATAAAAAGCAGAAATTGGTTTAGAGTCAGTCAGAATTAACTTCTGTAGATGAACAAACTTTCATAGAAGCACTGCAAATAAAATCCTACATTTGTCAACCTATAGGCACAAAAAATGTTTTTCTTGGTGAGGTTTTCGTCTAAGTTCAGAATATGACAAAAAATTACAATTTAGTTATTTTTGGTCAAAGCAGAAAAAAAGTGCAATCTCATGCAATGCTGTAAAATCTTCTGTAATCTGTTTGATTTCAACCATAAATGAGTTGAGAATGACTTCCAGCTATTAAAGTTATGTCAACTTTTTTACAATTTCTTGGAGCTATAGTCATTTATGTGCTAATAGCAGTGGCGGCCATCTTCAGTCAGGGGCGGTTCTAGGGGCGGGGCCACAGGGGCATTGGCCCCTGCTGAAATCTGATTGGCCCCCTGAAGTGCCCCTGTCCTGTCACTCATCTGTCCTTTGCTTGAGAATGATGGTGGCTGCAGTTCCAGTCTGACAGCAGTCTTCTTCTCTTCTTTAAAAGACTTGAAAATTTTTGCCAAAAATTAACTTTCAACTGACAAACAATGGCTTCTTTTTCTCATATTTTTGCAATATTTTATCCATGTACAGTAAAAATGCATGTAAAATTGATAAGGAGAATTTAAGCTTTTTTAATAACATTACATTACGTTACAACTGTTGGAACATACACTCACCGGCCACTTTATTAGGTACACCACGCTAGTAACGGGTTGGACCCCCTTTTGCCTTCAGAACTGCCTCAATTCTTCGTGGCATAGATTCAACAAGGTGCTGGAAGCATTCCTCAGAGATTTTGGTCCATATTGACATGATGGCATCACACAGTTGCCGCAGATTTGTCGGCTGCACATCCATGATGCGAATCTCCCGTTCCACCACATCCCAAAGATGCTCTATTGGATTGAGATCTGGTGACTGTGGAGGCCATTTGAGTACAGTGAACTCATTGTCATGTTCAAGAAACCAGTCTGAGATGATTCCAGCTTTATGACATGGCGCATTATCCTGCTGAAAGTAGCCATCAGATGTTGGGTACATTGTGGTTATAAAGGGATGGACATGGTCAGCAACAATACTCAGGTAGGCTGTGGCGTTGCAACGATGCTCAATTGGTACCAAGGGGCCCAAAGAGTGCCAAGAAAAGATTCCCCACACCATGACACCACCACCACCAGCCTGAACCGTTGATACAAGGCAGGATGGATCCATGCTTTCATGTTGTTGACGCCAAATTCTGACCCCACCATCCGAATGTCGCAGCAGAAATCGAGACTCATCAGACCAGGCAAC